CTTTAGTTCTTGCTAAAACTGGACACCTTGAGATGCTGTATCCTTACAATAAACTTCTCTGTAATTAGCCCAGCTTAAGTGGATTTCTTCTGGCAACTATGCATATGAAACTGCTCAACCGCTATGATAATTTTCAAGACTTCTAAAGATGGCAACAACTTACATTTCTCTGCCAGAATTTTGGAGAGAGGCAAGCAAATCTGACATCAGAAATGTAGTTGTCTCACTTTTGGTTTAAATCCTGAATCAGTTTAGGGAAGCAGTGGGTGAAGATTATTTTTAAACAGCCCACAGTCAACTTATCCTACTCAAAAGTATGACCAAAACACTGAGGAGGCAGAACAGATAAAGAATTTTTATTTTCTGGTAAGTAGTGGTTATTTAGACATAAAATAATTATTGTATGAAAGTCCTTTGAACCATTGTGACTTGCACTGACAATTAGAGAAAGAGAGAGAGCGAGAGAGAGAATAGAGTGAGTGTACATGTGGCCTACAGCATGAAAGGTAAATCAGCAGATTCTTGAATCAACCATCTATTCTATTTCTATGATTATGTATTGGTTTAAAAAAGACTCCTTCTTAGAAAAGGCAAGTGTTGACTAAGCTATGTGTGTCACAATAAAAGTCATAAACCTTCTTTTTGGCCTGTTAAAACAAGGTTTAAGGAAAATGAGGAATATTTCAAGCCAAGAACATCTGAGCAAATAATCAAATAAGAAAAACAATTAAAAGCTTGGGATGATATTAACAAACTGAGAAAAAACCACTGAGATAAGAATCTTGGGGGAAAATAGAAAGCACAGTAAAAAACAAAAAAAAAAAAAAAAACAAAAAAAACCTGGCGAGAGAGTTAAGATGTAAAAAGACTCAGAAGGCCGTCATTCTTACAGTAACATCAGAAAAGTCATAATATAAAATTATACTTACGTATGAGACAGTAGAAAAGTGGTAGACAAAAGAAAACCTTGACAAACTAATTTTTAACAGAGCAAAACCTTTCATGGGTGAGCAGAAAGTGACAACATCTTCTAGGGTAAGTACTGTGTCTAGATACAGGCAGGCAGACGAGAAGACATACCATAAACTTGATAACTTTATGATAAGTTTGTTAGGTAAAAAGAGGCCAGCAGATCTATTGGCAATGGTAAAGGAAAGCAGGATGGACTGAGGTATGCAATACCCCTTAAATGCAGCATATATTTTCTTGGCATAATAATTCTCCCCATTCTCTTCTTCCACAATTTGTTGAGAAAAGCTGGGCATGCTGTATTAGGTAATAAGAACTGGGGTAAATAGTTTGTTAATTTTAGAATTTATGGTAATCTAGCCAGAAATTAGACTTTTTAATGTTTTCTGTAGCTATAGATGCCAGAAGCTTCAAATTCCTCTGGCATCTTTGTTTTTGTCTCCCTTCTTGACTTTTGGCTTCCCTAGGTATTCCTCCTCAAAAAGAGTTGTGTTGTACAGCTCTTTCAGCTATAATCCCCTGTTATAATACTGGAGCCCTGCTGATGTGATGGTAAGCCATGGCAGATAAGGAGCATTCTATACTCTTCTAATTAAATCTCTATGTTTTATTGGTCCTGTGTTTTTACAGTTTTTCTCCAGTAGTAAAGACATTTTTTCCCTCTCTTGCCTCCACTCATATCCCTGACTGCCCCAATCCCAATCTATTTTCTTAAAGTCTTGACCCTTGTTGACTATGTCTTTCCTCCTTACATAAGACAGGAAGACTGGAGGGAACTTCAGTGGGAAGAATGTCCTTCCCCCAGTTGGGACAAAGTTCTGAAAGATTTGTTCACCATGAAGCATAGGCCATTGTTAGGGAGAGGGCTCTGGGTATATTTCCCATTGGGATATTTCTGGGTATATTTCTCACTCTTCCTCTTCTCTTCCAGAGATACCAGGGGATCTTCCTTCACTCTTCACTGTGAGAACCTGCTGAGGTCCCTGAAAACACAGTCTATGAAAGTGTAGGGGCCACCTAAGACTGTGATTCCCAGGAGTTGCTCATTCGAGTCCATATTCAGCCTCCAACAATTTATCAAAATTACTGTGTAAAGATTCCTTCTACTTTATGGCTTGAGTGCCTTCTGCTTCAGGTAAGAAGCTCTTGGTTATGTTTCTCTGGATGAACCTGTCTCCCCAGATTTTGGGGAGAAGGATTGCCCTATAACCTCAGTTCTCTGACGTGTCCAAGAAGAGTCATTGATTTTCAGTTTTCCAGCTTCTTCTTCTTGTAAGGATGAGGGTGATGACTCAGGCTGTTAACATGTCAGAATGAAAACTGGAAATCACATTTATATATTTTCATCCAACAACTACAAGATACACTTTCATTTCTAGTACACGTGGAAGATAGACCATGGCAGTACATTTAAAGGATTGAAATAATACAGAGTATTTTCTACGATCAAAATAGAATTAAGTTAGAAATCAATAATAAAAGCAATACATGAAAAATCTACAAGTATTTGGAAACTATCACTAACTTCTGAATAACCCATAAATCAAAGGAGAATCAAAGGGAAATTAGAAAACATTCAAACTAAATTAAAAGGACACTACAACATATCAAAATGCGTGGAATTAAATAAAAGTAGGGCAAAGGCAGTGTATTAGTTAACTATTATTGTATAATAACTTTGCCAAAATATAGTTATTTAAAACAATATATAGTTATTATCTCACAGTTTCTGTGGGTCAGCAGTCTGGGCATAACATAGCTGGCCTCTGCTCCAGGGTGTCACAAGGCAGCAATTAAGGTGTTAGCCATGGCTGCTGTCTCAGCAAAAGACTTGACTGGAGAGGAATTTACTTCCAAACTCATGCAGTTTTTAGCAGGATTCGGGTCCTTCCCATAAAGAAAACTAAAGGCCCAGATGGTTTGCCTGGTAAATTATATCTTTAAAGGGAAAATAATGCCAATCTTACATAAGTTCTTTCAGAAAACGGATGAGAAAACAATACTTCCCAACTTTGCTGTGAAGCCAGAATAACCCCAAAACCAAAATTGGCAAGTACATTACAAGAGAAGAAATAACAGACCATTTTCCCTAATTACTACAGATGGAGAAGTAAGTTTTAGCAAAATGTTAACAATATAACTCTAGCAATGTGCACATAGGGTAATACCGCACAACCTAGTGGGGTTTATCTGAGGGATTCAAGGTCACTTTAATGTAAAAGTATAACTCGTTGCGAGGTATGGTGGCTCACACCTGTAATCCCAGCACTTTGGGAGGCCAAGGCAGGAGGGTTGCTTGAGCCCAGGAGTTTGAGATCAGCCAGGGCAACATAGGGAGACCCCATTTCTACAAATAATTTAAAAATTAGTTGAGCATGGTGGCATACAGCTGTAGTCTCAGCTACTCAGGAGGGTGAGGCAGGAGGAACACTTGAGCCCAGGAGTTCAAGGCTGCAGTGAGCCGTGATCTCACCATTGCACTCCAGCCTGGGTGACAGACCAAGACTCTGTCTTGAAAAAAAAAAAATAGTTCATCACATTAACAGAATAAAGGAGAATTATCATGTAACCTTCTTCATAGATATAGAACAATAGTTTAACAAAATTCAACTCCTTTGTAGTAAAATCTCTCAGGAAATATAAATAGAAGGAAACTAATAATCCGACATGAAAACTCTATGGCTACAAAAGACTTAATAGTGAAATTTTGGATACTATCCTTCTAAGTTCAGAAATAACAAAAAGCAGTTTGTTCTTATCACTTGCATTCAGCATCTCACTGAAAGTCTCAGTCAATACTACAACATGGCAAGAGAATAAAATAAAATGGATAAATATTGGGAAAGAATAAGTAAAACTCTTTATTCACAAATGATATGATTATGTCCACAGAAAATGCAAAAGAATCTACAAACCTCTGCTAGTTCTCACAAGTGAAGTCAACAACACACAATTGGAAGGTAACATTTTTAAAATGATGAATAGTAGCATCAAGAAACATAAAGTACCTAGGAATAAATTTAATGATAGATATACATGTTTGCTAGATTGACGACTATAAAACATTGATGAGTGAAAGAAAATCTGCATAAATGGAGAGCCATACCATTTTCACAGATTGAAAGATTCAATATTGTGAATATATCAATTATCCCTTGTATTCGTTTCTTAAGGTTGTTTAACAATTTACCAAAAGTTTAGTCAGTTGAAATAATACAAACTCCTTATTTTATAGCTCTGTAGATCAAGGAGTCAGATGTGGGTCTCACTGGGCTAACATAAAGGTGTCAAGAGTCTGTTCCTTCTGGAGACTCTGGGGAAGAATCCATTTCCTTGTCTTTTCTATCTTCTAGAGGCCACCCACTCTCCTTGGCTCATGACCTCTTCCTCCATTTTGAAATGTCAACAACAGCATGTCAAGTTTTTTTTGTGTTGCATCTTTCTGACCTCCTTTTCTGCACCCCTTTTCCATAGTTAAGGACTGCTGTGATCACACTGGCCTCATCCAGATAAGCCGGGATAGCCTCCCTATTTTAAGGTTAATTGGGTGGCAAACTTTAACTACATCTGCAACCTTAATTTCCCTTTGCCACATAGCCTAACGTATTTACAAGTTCCAAGGATTAGAATATGAACATCTTTGGCAGGCGATGAGGGGAAGGGAAAAAATTATTCTGCCTGCCATTTTCCTCAAATGATCTGTAAATTCAATACAATTCCAACAAAATACTGACATACCCTTTTGTAGACATTGACATGCTGATACTCAAATGTATAATGAATACTAAACAACTTAGAACACTTGACCCTTGTGCAACATGAGGGTTAGGGGCACCAACTCCCACACACTTAAAAATTTGCATATAACTTTTGACTCTCCAAAAATTTAACTGCTAACTGGAAGCCTTACTGATAACAGTCAATTAACACTTATTTTGTTTGTTATATGTACTATAACAAACTATATTCTTAAAATAAAGTAAGCTAGAGAAAAAATGCTATTAAGAAAATCATAAGGAAGAGGTAACACATTTACAGTGCATATGGTATTTATTGATACTATAAGTTTGCATTTTCTGTTTACAAGATCGATTGTCTGTCTGAAATAGTGGGTGACCATAGCTGCAGACCTCAATCTATGGTACATATCAAGCAGTTCGGCTTTTTCTTGTAGTGTCATAATTTTTCTCTGCTTCTTGGGAGTGCTTTCAGCATCACTAATGGCACTTTGTATGGTGTTACTCAAGGTCTACGCTGTTGCACTAAACTCACTGAAAAATATGCAAGAACTGAGAGAAATCACTTTCCACTGCAATATGCAATACACTAAAGAGACAAACTGCTCATGTGGAAATGATTAGCATCACGTGACATTTTAAGTGGATACTTGCAACATTTGAGCTCATGGAAACAGCAACAGGCGGTAGCTATGAAATTATGACAGTAGTACAATATGTACAACAGTGAATTTTATGTAGTTGTGATTCAATGCTGCATCTTTACATTTGTATACATTTCTCTGGACTGTGAGTGGCACCATCTATGATCTATAAATGCTTATATGCATAAGTTTTAATAAATTCTAACTTTCTATAAAATATCTATATATATTTTATGGTAGTAAAGGACAAAACAGCTTAGTATCTACATATGTTTTATGCATTCATGACATACCTAACTTTTTCTTAATTTTGGGGGCATTTCTAGGCTACACAGTTCTTCTGTAAGTTTTTTCAAATTGTTGCAAATCACCAAAAAAAATTTCAATATATTTATTGAAAAACGAATTCATGTTTAGGTGTACCTGTGCAGTTTAAATCCATGTTGTTCAAGCATCAAAGGTCCTAAACAATCTTGAGAAGGATAACCAAATCTGGCAGGCATACACTACCTGATTGCAATATTGTCAATAAAGCCACAGTGATTAAGAGAATGTAGTACTGGTATCAGAATAGACTAATGGATCAATAACAAATGGTGCTGGAACATTTGGATATCCATATGGGAAAAAGAAGGACCGTGATGAATACTTCACATTCCCAAAAATTAACTCAATATGGATTGCACACTTAAATTTAAAAGCTACATTATAAAGTCCCTAGAAGAAGACACAGGAAAATCTCTTTGTGACTTTGTGATAGGCAAAGTTGTTGTAAAATATGAAAAGACCTAATTCTAAAGGAAAAAATTTGATAAGCTAATAAACTGGAAAAAATTTTTAAATTCTGCTTATTGAAAGACACTATAAAGAAAATGAAATCTGAATAAACTTGGGGAAAATATTTGCAATACATGTATCTAACCATCGCGAGTGCATGTTGCATCACCAAGACCCCTCTCTAAGACTACAGGATTATGCAATGAACTGCTTAGAAAATTGTTGGCTGACAGCTCTCAGTTGACAACCCTCTTCAAGAATTGCCTAGGTTGAAGATGTCACACCTCCTTTTGGGGGTAGTCCACCTCTAATGTCTTATTGACTCAGGAGTGTAAATGTTTGGTCCTACACTGCAACTTAGGAAAATTCTGAAGGCCCACCAGGTTCAGAATTTCCTATGTTGTGACTACACAGGTGGCCAGTTTCTCCCTTTAAAAATCTTCCTTCTTTCTACAGATGTTGATCCCAAGAGCACTCCCTAATACTTCTCATACATTTCCCTCTCCATCTGCTTCCTGAGAAACCCATTCTGACAAGCATTGACAAAAGACTTGTGTCCCTGATAGATAAATTACTCCTACAAATCAATAATTTTAAAATAAAACAACCAAAGTTTTAAAAATGGGCAAAATACTTAAATAAGTACTTCACAATAAGGGATATACAAATGGTTAATAAACTCCTGAAAAGATTGTCAATATTATTAATCACCAAGGAAACGCAAATCAAAACTACAATGAGAATACCCAAACATCCATTAGAATAACTGAAAAATAAAAGTGTTAACAATACCAAGTGTGGGAGATAACATGGAGCAACTGGATCTTTCATACATGGCTAATAGAATTGTGAATTGATGCAATCACTTTGGAAAGCTACTTGAATGTTTTACAATGTTCACAATATAGCTACCTCATAATCCAGCAATTCCACACTTAGATATTTACCTACAAGAAATGAAAACATATATCCACAAAAAGATTTAAACAAGAATGTTCATTACTGCTTCATTCATTAATTTAAAAATAGCCAAATTAACCATCAACAAAAAGATAGATAAAGAAGTTGTGGCATTTTCATACAATGAAATACCACATAGCAATAAAAAGAAGGAACTACTAGTAGATGCAACAACATGAATGAATCTCAAAAACACTCTGTTGAGTGAAAGACGCTAGACCCCCCAATATGACATACTGTGTGTTCAATAATAGGCAAAATTAACATATGAAGGTAGAAATCAGAGCAGTGATTGTCTGAGGAGGAAGGGCTATAGACCTTGAAGAGAACTTTCCAGGGTAAGAATTTTCTAGGGTGATGGCAACGTTCTATAACTTGGTTGGAATATTGATTTACAGGGTCATATATTTGTCAAAATTCATCAAACTGTACCCTTGAGATCTGTGCACTTTACTATGAGAGGGAAGATACTATTTGACAAAAGAATGTAAACAGAAAACTGCTAATAAAACATCAGTAAAACAGGAGAATACTGATGGGAGACATTCAGAGAAATATGCTCTGTTTCTTGGCCAGTTCCAAGGCTGGCTCCTAACATATCTGCTTTCCCTGGAGAGCCTGATAATAGATACTTGCTATGAAATTCAAGCACACATGAAAATTCAGAATATGTTCATCTTTATCAACAGTAATAGTTTTGAGGGCAAAACATGCAGTAAAGTGTAGCACTGCACTTAGAAGTGCCATACCCAGCCGCAAAATGTAGGGTTAAAGCCCAGCTCTGCCTCCGTTTATGAGATCTAGACAAGTTAGTTATCCTCTCAGCTGTAAAATGGGGATAATGATAATAATTGCATCCACTTAGTGGGGCCACCTTGAGGATTAAATGACTTAACACATGCAAACTTCCTAAAAAGTGTTTGCCGTAGAATAAGTGCTTGATAACTATTAATATCGTATGAATTCTAAAGTGCATCCTCATGCATGGATTTGCTATTATGCAAGTTTAAAGATATCCAAGTAGAAAAGGATACATAGATCTTTGAAAACTTGAATCTGTTTGTATATTCCTCTGAAAATGTCACTGGTACCGTTGTGGCAACCCAGCAGTGATGGTTTCTATTCAGGGAAGAGGCAGTTCTGAATTCAATAAGGTTTTTTTGCAGGGAATCAAGAGGCTGTGGGTTCTGGTCAAGGTTTCACTGTAGTGTCTACCAAAGTGGGGTAGTAAAGGATCTATTGTGGCTAAAATCATTTCTTCCCACACCAGTGATTACAAAGTTAATAGCTACAGTTAATCGGCTGTAGCTGCAACCGCGGCTGCTTGTTTTCTTCCAATTATATAAACTACAACCAGCCAGAATACTAGTGAAATATTGAATAGTACATTTGCTTTTATTGGTTTATCCTTTATTCAATCAAAGTCTGTGAACATCTTCATTCCACTTCAGATTTTAGCAAAGATATCCATGAATTAGACCTCAAAATAACTACATTTCTACAAACTAAATTGAGTTAGCCAGCTTATATTACCAGCAAGTTTTTTTAGTCTGAAATAAATATATGGTACCATCCCAAAAATCTGATGTAGCTTTCTTGAAAAAATTTGAATTTCCTAGTAGTATACAGCAATCCAGAGATGTTACTTACTGAAATAGATGCTGCTGTGTAATGTATCTTATTGAATCAGAATTATTTCCCAGTTGATTATCGGATGCATAAATCCAACCAAAATTATCACCTATCAACCTGAAAACATTAAACTTACAAAGCCAAATGGATCAGCTGGCAAATCATAAATATGGCCATGGCATCCGAGTACACATCAGCACTCTGTTGTCTTGAGTCTGGACTTGGGGGAAACGTTAACTCTTTCAGGTGCCCAGTAGAGTAGGGCAGCTGCATTCTCCTAGAAACAACTCCATATAATTAGGTTTAGGAAGCCAAACAGCCCTTCACATCTGAAAAGGCACCCTTCCAAGCAGTACACGGCAAAAAGTCTCCTTCAGTTTTCCTGTCCTCTCTCCCCAGGAGCCAGTGACCTCCAGAACTGTAGACAAAGCAGCTTTTGGTGCATTTAAAACAAACAAATAGCACAGGAAGGTGACCCAGTGTGATCAAGAGAATATTAGGCAGTTCTCACTGATCATAAGAATGTAAAGTTGAAACCTCATTAATATGCTGTTCCTGCTTTCCTCCTGAGAGAAAGTTGAATTTGGGGTTACCAGAAGGCAGAGCCATTTCAGGGTGAAGCAAAGTGGGCTTTTGCTTCATTTTGTTTTTGTTTTAGTTTTAGAGTGGCTTGTTGAGTTCTCTATCATGCCTCTCCTCTTTATGCCCTCTTGTGATTTTCTTTGTCCTGTAAATAACACTTACAGAGAGAGTAACGAAACATCTTACATATTTCTAGACACTTCTTTCAAATATGTTATTTTCCTCATAAGCATTCTCATATCTATCAGATCATGTTTCCTACTTTTTAATTTGAAAACCAAGGTCACCAAGATGCCCATGATGAAAACACTGCCCCATTCTATACTGAGTGTCTGTTTTCATTCCCTTATCATTAAGCATAGCAGGCATTTTGCTACGTTGGTATTCTCTGCCATTGTCTGCATGTTAGTTAACATTCTTTTGGTTCCAAGTGTTAGAAACAGTCTCTGGCTAAGTTCAGTTAAAAAGGTAACTTACTGAAAGGACGCTGAGGCAGCTCCCAATCTGAGGATGAGGGGAACAGTCAAGTCTGCTGGCTGAAACCTCAGCAGCAGGAATCTGTGGACTTTCTCTCTAGCATGCTGCCTTTGACGTGCGTCAGCCCTGAGTAATCCCATCTTTGTGAGTTTTGGTTCAAAATTCCAAATTGGAGATTCCAGAGAGAATCTGATTTGCTCAGCTCAGATCAGGTGTTCACTGCTGTGTCAATCAGCTAGTGACAGAGGTGAAAGCCCCTCAATAAGACATGGCTGCTGTGGATCTCTCCTTTGCCTATCTGGGGCAGTTCCCCTTCAAGGAAACTGACATCAACAGGCATTTAAGGTCAGGAACCCCTCTTTGTATATTGCTTTGAAAAGAACCATGCCTGCGAAGCATTTCTTTAATACTCTGCCATAATACTTCCAACAATGGTTAGGAGTATTGTCTCTTCATTCCAAAAGAAAGGCACGTTTTTAAGTCTAAATGTTTCCATGGCTTTGAAAACATCATTTGGCTCATCTTAACATGGTCAAGATGAGAGTGCTGGGCTAACAATGGGTTGCAATAGACCTACTGAGCATGCCTGACCAAGTTTTGAAAAAGAAAACTTCTATAATCAAGTAAGATACAACCACCTACCAAAAGACATAATTTAGGGTGGAAGAAAGAAGGGGTCTTTTAAAATGCCAACCAGTTAGTTTATGACCTCTATCAGTGCTGCAGTGATGGAAAAGGAAGGTGTCAAAAAAGTAAAATAGCTGATTTACTATCTACAAAAGATTAACAGCTTTGCTAGGCCTGGGTGATTATGGAAGTAGAGGTGAGTGAAATGTTCCCGTTGGAGACACACTGATGAAAGGGGGCTGGGTGAGCAGATTGCCCAGCTCATTTTTATTGTGAGGAAAAAGTTGAGTTCATCATGATTGAACTCATCATTCTAGGGAAGTGTTTGGAAATCCAGATTGTTTAAGGTTCATTTTCACAAGCTGAGATAAACAAATTATTCTAGGACTAAATAATAAACAAATTTCTACTTTCTGCCTAAGTGAAGGATATCACTGACCATCAGTCTCCTTTGAGGATTTATTCAAGTTGCCCTTTTTGGAGCAGGTGACACCAACATGCCCAGGAGGCTATAGTTTGATAAAGGCAAGCCTCAGTAGAGTTGATATGGCCAAACTGTGGGTCAAACCCAGGAAACAAGATGTTGGCCAGGACTGGAGGCAAGCCAGTTTCAGAGCCAGAGTTACCTTTTCTGGGTTATCCGGGCCAGTTTCAGAGCCAGAGTTACCTTTTCTGGGCTATCTGTCTGAACCCTGGGAGAGGCCATCTGGGAGTCGCAGCTTCTTCTGGTTGGAAGCAAGAGGTTGAGAATCAGCATCTGGGACAAGACCACCGTTCAACCCTCCCAACCAAGCCTAAGCCCAGAGCCAGAGCATGAGGCACTGAGCATAGGACAGTGTCTTCATACGTTCAGAACCCAAGGCCATTGACTGGAATAATCTGAGGAAGTCATAAATATGTAGCTAAATTTTAGTGCATGTCAAAATAAAAACTAATAATCAATGTTTTTCTACAGTCAGGAAAAAGAAAATCACATTCTTTATTAGTGTGCTGTCAAAACCTGTCAGTCTCATCTGGTTTCTAAGCATATAAGATACAGAATCTATTTTCCAACATCGAATCCATCTTTCTTTTACCAATGACCCAAAGCATGAGTTCATGTAATGGATTAGCCTTGCTCATGTTTAACCTGCACTCCTCAGGCCTCTGAAAAATATTCTATCCTGATAAGCTTATATTAGGGTAGTGCTTCTAAACCCTATCAGACCTTTTTAGAACACATATTATATAATGCCTTCTTTATTATCTTGAGATTAAAATCATAGATGCTATATCTTACCTTCAAACATAATGTTTTAAAAATAAATATAATGCCATAACTGTAATTTAAATAAGAAATAAAAAGAATGTAATGTATAATAAAACAACATATATCAATATGGAGAAGCTCAGACATGACTTCATTAGACGATAGAAAGAAGAAGTCAGATGTTTGTGCCTATATGTAGAGTTACTATGACTGCAACAGCTAAAAACGCCAACAGACAGAGGTGCAGTGTTGGCAGCTCAAGTGCCCCAAGCAATATCATTGCCAGTGATACAGTTTTCTGAAGTGGCTAACAACTCTTGGTTAAGTTCCCAACAAAGCCAAGTATAATCTTCCCTCCACTCACATGGTAGTTGCACTCATGGAAAATTCAGTATACATTTAAACTGTACCCAAAATAGTCTGTGTTTATACAAAAATCGAGTTAGGCTTTAAGCTTAGATAATTGCAAACAGGTTTTTCACATACACTGCTGTCTTCTGGGACATTTAAAAGTCATGGCAATTGTGCATCAATTATTCACTGTGCAAGATCACCCCGCACATTGCAGTTCATAGAGAATCCTTGACACTTACCTAACTAATGGCAATTACAGCCCTCAAACACTGTGAGAATCAAAATGTCTCCCCCATATTTCCAAATGACCCTTGGGGAAGGTATATCCCTGAGAGTCACTGTATTAGGGCATCTTACTACAACTCAAAATACAAGGATAATTTAATTAGCCCTTTTTGCAGTATGAAGATACTATATTGTTGAAAACCAAAGTCATGCACCAACCTATACAGGCCAGGCCTACCAGGTTTTAATCAAAAGCTCAGGATGGAAAGTGTTCACACATTTTAGGTTACCTCATCCACTGGAGAGATTACAAACGTGGTATCAAATCCTAATCTGCCCTATACCTGTGACCTTCTAGAATACTATGTGTCTGCAGAATAGACATTTAATATTAACTATCTGTGACTTATGTATAATCTAAGTGTTAAGCCCTTTTCTAATGTATCTTACATTTTCTCACAGGAATTCATATAAGACAATGGACTGGTGAACTACTCCCAGGCAGTAGAACCATATCCTAATCAAGAACATTTGCTGCCTCCAGGCAAGGGGTCTTGGCAACACATGCCTAGTTAAATTTCAGAATTGCTATGACCCAGTGACTTCTCTTTGCCTCCTCTCTATAAATGAGAGTGTTGGTTTGGCTCATCCTTTCCCTGTATCACATTGAAGGAAGGTATTTATAAGTGGGGAGAGGGGATGGCGATAGCTTGTCTTTTTTGTTTATAGGTTTCCAGATCAAGAAGCGTTGCACTTGAAGAGTGAAACCTCATCTGCAGTTGGACCTGATTTGGAGAATAAAATCATGGCCATCAAGTCTGCTGCCATAATAAGATGAGATTTTTTTGTGGACCTGAAAAGACTGTAGTAGATTTGCAAGGGAAAAGAAAAGAAAAGCCACAATTTCTTTGAATTTCCTCCCATTGCTCTTTGGTCCTGTGACCTGCATTTGTCAATTGGACATTAGCAGATGTGATGCAAAGAGACATTTGAAAAACATGCACATTGGGGTTCAGAATTGTTGCTTAGAAACTATGTAAGCAAGCTTGAACTAGCCTTTTAGAGGAAAAGAAGATGTGGAAGCAGGCCACGGCCACCCCATCCCACCCACAAGCAGATTGCAACCACATGAGTAAGCCTGGGTCAGACCAACAGAACTGCCCAAAGGGCCAACTTACAGAATCATGAGCCAATCAATGATTGTTTTAATTAGTACGTTTTGGGGATGGGTTTATTTTATACATCCCACATTCACATATAAAGTTTTCAATCTTGCTAAGTTATCAGTTTCTGAAACTGCTTGAGAAAAAAGTAACTGCATGGTCCAGTACACCTACCTGACATTTTTAGGCAGTTTCTCTCACTTTAATTTTACCTTTGGCTTATGAAATCTTATGTAATGGATCAGTTGTGCTCCATAAAAGCCTTGGAATTTTATCAAATTGCATGTTGTTAGTTGACCCCTGTGCATCTCTCTCCATTATCCTGGCCCACTGCGAGGTACGTGCGATTAAATGTCATTAACCAACCAGAACTAAAGAAGCTTCATAAATAGACGTGCTAACCTTTGACCAAATACAGTTCATAAACTCTTTCAGGAAATAAATGCTGGAGATTTCTTATGGCATTTCTGTTTCTGAGTTAAATTGGGACTATGTGGAGTGGAAAGGGTACTAAACTGGAGTTAAAAGGCCTAGCTTCTTGTTTAGATCCTTCCTTCTCCTTACTGGGAGATCTTGGAGTTCTTTAACCTCACTAAGCCTTGGTTTTCTCATCTGCTAATGGAAATGATGAAGCCTTCCCTGCCTACCCTCACAGGGTAGATGTGATGAATACATAAAGTAAATCCTTTGTTTACACATGTCAGCATCAGGTACTGTCTGGCCCATAGAGACCTTGCTTTTAAATATTTTTAATGATACTATTTCAGCTATACACAGTACTGTAGGAGGAAAGTCGTAGTGCCAGTGCTTACTGGAGAGAAGAGAACCCAGTCTGAAATGCTGTCAATGCAAAGCCATCCAGGTCTTGGTGCTGACTGTTAAGAAGGGGCCTGGACCCTCCTGATGGCTGGCCTCTGACCATGCTGTGGAAAGCCTTTCTAGCATGCGTGGCATTGACTCTTTAGATCAGGACTGAAATCCCCATTGCTATGCCTGCAAGATGCACCTCTGCCAGAACGATCCCTGTGCTCCTTACCTACACACCCCTAATAGTTGTGGGAGCCAGAGGACAAATGAAAATCCATATGCCTGATATCTAAATATTTAAAAGGATCAAGGAATCTAACAGAGCACTTAAATAAAATATATTATATTCTCATATCTTGACAAATACACTCCACGCTGACCTTGAAGGCTAGTTTTGAATTTAGAACTCCTCAGACTTCTCAGAGTCCCTTTCCAGTATATGGCAGGCCTTTCTTTTCCATCCCACAGTATGAGGGCACCAAGATCTCATGTGTGGACACCCCTGTGTCCGTGTCCAAGCTCCATCCACACTCCCCACAAATGTCTGTTGTTTTGGCCACCGATCAGGTTGAGGAGTACATTGGGGGAGCCTGGTCCACACTCAGAAGGACAGACCTGTGCAGAGGCTCATGCAAGAACTGAAAATTGGCTCAGGACCATTTGGGCAGAGACTTCCAGGGTCTTAGCTACTGGGGCATGGTCTGGAAGGGGAGGCATCCAGTGGCCAGTTTCCCTAGGTCCTGCAGATTCCTCAGCTGTTACTGGAAACCCTGAGGCCTCTAGTTTTCAGGTCCACTACTCCTCTCTGTCCAACTTCAAAAGCAAGCCATGACCCGAGAAGAGAATGGACTGGCAACCAAGGGTGACATTAAAAGATATTTTTAACTAGCATTGCATGAGTACCATCCAATCATCCAACCATTCTACCAGCAAAAATAGACACAGATGATGAGAAATTGCTGTGGCCATAGTTCTACTTAGAACTGGCATTGCTCTACATCTGACATTTATCCTTGGCCTTCTCCCTCTCCCTGCTACCTTGGCAAAGTCCACACAACTGATATTCTGCCTCGGTTGACTTCCTGGGCTGGAACCCTTTCCTGATCCTTAGTGTCTTTGACTGGGGCAGGCTCTGATACTCTTCCAAGTTCTTCCCATCTCCTTTCCCCAGGGTGCTAAATCAGGAAGATGATCTTGATGCATAATGTCATTACCTGCCTATGATAAAACTGCTGCCTGGATCCCACTGCTACCCCCTACCCACTAGCAGGGGGACCATGGAATGCTGGGGTTATTCCTCCCCTTTATCCTATGGGCACTGGACAGCTGTTGAGCCATATAGATTGAGTTTGACAAGATGCAAACACAGAGCAATAAGGAACAAGGGTGTGACTTAAGCAGGATCCTGTACTTCTGGTATCTGCGCTATTTCCAGCCTTGCTGATCCCTGGCTTCAGGTTCTGTGACCAGAGGCTTTTCTTCATCCCATGCCTCCAGCATGGAATTTCTGCATCTGGCGCCTCCTGCTCCACTCTCTTTACACCCCAGTTGTCTCACCTGATTTGCTCTTTCCACTCCTCACTTCTAGCAGAAGTTGTTTCCTGACTTCCTTTTGGTCTGTGCTCCAGCACTGTCTCTCTCAGAGTACCTGGCTAGTCATCTCCCCTCCCAAGCTCAGTTGGCATTCCTGACACCCTCCATGGGGCAAACAGGCCCTTTTGTCCCAGGAAGTGTCACATAGACACCCTGGCTCTGGGTAGAAGTACAAACAGAGGCCCACATACCATACGTCTAAATATTTTAAAGTTATATATTAAGCCAACCAACTGTTAAATAAAACATGTCCTACTCTCCTGCTTTGACAAATATACCTTCACAATGTCCTTGAGATCCAGATGGAAATTTTAATTTCTGGTACTCCTCAGAGTTTTATGCCAGAACATAGAGACAGTGAGAGCCAGCCCCTAGTCTTTGGCCCCACCCTGCTGCCCACCCCCCTTTTCTTTCTGACCTGGCTTTGCCCCACATGGTGAGGGCTTTGCAAGGTCAAGTGTGCACTTCCCAGCCTTCACAGCCAAACTCCACCCACATTCCCTGAAGAGAGTTGATCCTGGCCACCCTGTCCTCAGAGTGCCCAGCCCTGGAAGTGGGCCTGAGGCTACCAGGACAGGGAATTCTGGGGTCTTGGGTACCTGGAATGTGGTCTCAAAAGGAGGATGTTGGCTTTGCGGTGGGGATGCTCCCTCAAGCTTCAGGCCCAGGGCAGGAGCTCCTCTTCTCCTGGCCTAAGGGCTGTTCTGAGAGAGAAAGAAGAAATTTGGGTTTAGATGAGTCAAGTTGGAGGAGCTGGTGAGAAACCCATGTCGAGACGTCCTGCAGGCCTTGGGAAAAGTCCATGTAAAGTTTGACCAAAGAACTACACACAGTAGAAACCTGAACATCATTGAGCTGGAGAAATAGGATTGCATGGGTTTTCCCATGCCAGCTGATAATGGTATAGAAGCAGCACAGCTTCTCAGTGCCCGAAATCACTGCTCCTCACGATGCAAAGGTTGTTGCCTCTTCCTGTTTTGGTAAGGATGTTTTAGTGAGATGTGACTTTCCAGGGGTCATTAGGGACATGTGGAGGTGCCTAAGGTAGAGGTTGTATATAAGATAGATTAGGGTTGACAGTGAGTGCCAAAAGATATGACTTATAGTGGCAGTTCAGGCTGTAATCATTATGCTACAATATCTAAGGATCCAGGCTCCCTGTATCTGAATAATAGTATTTTCCATCTATTCTGAATAATAGTTTCCACCTCACTGTTCAAGGTAGTTGCTCAAGCTCCAGTCATCACTTCCACATTCCAGCCAGCAGGAAAGAAGAACGAAGTATACACCTCTCCCTTGTTAAAAGAAAAACTTTAGTCAAATTAAATTTAAAAGAATTTAATTGAGCAAAGAACAATTTCTGAATTTGGCAGACTCCTGAGCCGGAGTAGGCTCAGAGACTCCACTGCAGTGCAGCCACATGGTAGGAGAAGACTTATGGACAGAAAAAGGAAAGTGATACACAGAAAACAGAAGTACAGAAACAGCCAGATTGGTTACAGCTCAGAGTCTGCCTTATTTGAACATGGTTTGAACAGCTGGCCACCTTTGATTGACCAAAACTTGGTGATTGGCACAAGAGTAGGTTACATTCTGTTTACAACTTTGTTTAGATTACAGTTCACGACGTACAGAGAAGCTTTTAGGCTGAACTTAAAATATATAAGGAGGTACCTTTAGGCTAACCTTGATTTAATACCTTTTAAGGCTATTTCTTAGAAATTTTACATGGCAGTTCTACTTTCATCTCATTGTCTAGAACTTAGATACATGACCACATCCAACCAGAAGAGGCTGGGAAATATAGAGTTTATTTCAGCCAACCAGAATCCGCCCCCCACATTGCCAGCTAAAACTTAGGGTTTCTATTACTAAAGAAGTAGATAATGGGAACTTAGGGACAGTTATCTGACTTTGCCACAGGTTGGAAAAGCAGAGATGACAGAAAGAATTGCCTTAGCAACATGCTGTTTTGCTTCTGATGCTCTGAAGTCCTTGGTGGTATGGTCATCTTTAGGTCCTGGTCCTTCCACTGCTATTAGGAGAGTGTGGTCAAAGCCTCCCAGCTCCCCTAGAACCATTTCTTTTTGGATAAAGCCTGGAACATCAGGATACTATCTAGATGCTGGGTGAGAGTCACGTCTTAATTTGTCCTTGCACAGCTCATCAAAGGCTATTTCTCTCTTTGAATAAGCTGTAGCTGTAGCCGTTATTATGCCCGGAAAGGCTGTGAAGTTTCCACGGATCAGCAGTTTTGGTAGTTGACTCTGCCTGATCAGATGTAGAGCAAATCATAAACTATTCAACATGTAAACACTGGAGGATGTGCTCTGCATGGGTAATGTACATGAAGTTTGGTTTGGCTCAGTGGCTCCTGTGAGGGCTTTAACCCAGCTGGGTGGAAGTGTGGTTCTAAAGCCTCCCAGCCCAATATGGCAAAGTTGGGGAAGGAGAGGATGTTGAATTGATGGGGGAAAGTAGACAAATAAGGAGAAAGGGGTCTGTTTTTCATAAAGGAGTCTTCCCTATGAGATTCTGTTCTCTTCCTTCCTGAAGCCCCTCAAGCTCAAGAACTTCTGTGGAGCCCACTGAGGAAAGTCTTTGGAATGCTATCACACAACAGGCTAGGGAAGAAAAGATGGTATTACAAATCCCTTGAAGAGGCAGCAAAGGCACCTGTTACCACTCGCTGGAGGCCCAGGAAGGGAGAACACCATTCTGGCAAATGCATGGGATTTGGAGTCAGGTAGATCCAGGCTAAAATTCTGCATCTGCTATTTACTAGTTATGTAGTTTTAAACATATTAACTTTCTGAGCCTCAATTTGCCTACCTGTAAAATTAAAGGGGGGAGAAAACTACCTCACAGGATTGCTATGAGGCTTAAGTAAGGTCATATGCATAAAATCCTAGTTCAACTTCGGCCCTTCAGGTACACAAGCTATAATTTCCTTCCATCTCCTCTGCTGGGAACACTGAATCACAAGTAGGACCTCCCATTAAAACCTTATATCTAAGAATCTTTGCCCACCCCGAGTCCCATTCTCTACTTTCCCTTCTCTTGCTATTCCTGACTCTCTTGGTAGAACCCTACCCTTATCCAATTCTGTTCTCAGCAGTTATAGGATGTCCTTTAACAGCCGCATGACCCTCATCAATTTCCCCCTTCCCCAGAGAGACTTATGGAGGAAGTCTTCAATTTCTCCTACCACAAAAAACTGCTTGCTAGCTAAATGATACCTCAGCCCAGTCGACCTGGGCTTGGCCAGTCCAGGGTGTCAGTCCATCCACAATTGTAGATACATGCCATCCTCAAGCCTCATTGTCCTCTGAGCCCGAGGGCCCTCTGGACCACTCTGTGAAAGTCTAAACGACTGAATTGAAAATGACCAAAATCTTCTCCTGGATCAGAACGTGATAGGGGAGTTAAATGGAGAGACCTGAACTTTTCTTCTTGGCTGTGGCTTCTGTTTACAGCTCAAACCCTCTCATTCCCTTCTCATCAGTCTCTTGGTCAATAACATCAGCAGGGACAGAGCAACCTGGCCGTGCTGAGTTCAGTTAACATTGAAGCCTGGCAGTGGCAGAAAGAAATCTTGCTTCCTCAGTAAGACAAATGTGGTAAGACCTACATTTGCCTATCTTCTTCTTCCTCCCACCAGAGCAGGAGGTGCCCCCAAAGGCAACCTCTGCTTGGGCTCAAGTCTCAGTCCTTCTTGCTGTCTCCCTAGTTATACCTTCTCCTTTTTCATTTTCAGTGCTTCCCTCTGGACTGAATCATTCCCAACATCAGATGCAAACATACTTTATTAGTTCCCATTTAGGAAAACAGCAAAACAGAAATAAAGACCCTCTCCTGACCCCACAGTGCCCTCCAACCACTATCCCATTTCTCAAGGCCTCTTAGAAGGATTGTGAGCACACTGTCTCCACCTTCTCACTCCTGTTCACTCCACAGCACAATCCAAACCAGCTTCTCTTCCCTTTGCTCTGCTGAAATTGTTCTAGTCAAGACCTCCAACCATCTCCATACTGACAATCCAGGGAATTCTTTCTGTCTTCATAGTGCTTGACATGGCACTGGCTGTCAGTGAAACTGGCCACCCTTTCCTTCTTTCAACCTTTCCCTCTCATAGCTTCCATGGCTTCACTGTCTCCTGGTTTTCTTCCCACTCACTATCACCCTCTCTCCAGCTCCTTTGACAGTAGACCCACTTCTATCCAGCGCCTAAAAACTGGAGCTGCTCACTATTCAGCTCAGAGCCTTATTTTCTTTTTTTTGCACTCAATCAGGGGCCAGATATGTCTCATCCATTCTCATGGGTTTAGAAATCTTAGAACATTATGTATATGTTGATCATTTCTCAATTCATAAATAATCCTCAAACTCCTCTTCTGAGATTCAGACTCATCTGCCACTAGAATTATCCGCTGGATGGCTCACAGGTATTTTCAAATGGCCAAAATGGAACTTTTGATGTCCTTGAGCCATGTTTCTTCCTCACTCTTCCTCATCCAAGGAAAAGGCATTCCAATTCTACTCAGTTAGTTGCTTAAACCAATAATCCCTGATGAATGCAAGTGCCACCGGGAAGAGATCTTTGTTAGTATCCACTGTTGATACATCCCCAACAACTGGAACAGTGACTAACACATAGTAGGCACTTATTTGTTGAACAGAAGATTCCCTTAATTTTCTTCAAGTCCCACATCTGTTCCATCAGCGAGTCTGATTATACACTGCCAGCTACCCACGCTCTTCATCTTCATGGCTGTCATGCTGATCACCTCACCTGAATGTCTGAAATAGCCTTTTTGTCTTGTTGCTTCCACTCTTGCTCCTTGCCAACCAGTTCTGTTACAGCATCGTTTTAAGCAAACCAATGGCATAATCTGATGTCTTTAGTCTTCTTTAGTCTTTAGTTTTCCCATCAGGCTTAAAAGGACATCCAAACTCCATTTCTTGCCCTTCAGAGCCTTTACTGGCCATGGTCTAACCCTTAAACCTCATCTCATGACCCTTCCCAACCTTCTCATGAAGTTTTAGTCATTGGTCTTCCATGGATTCCAGAGATTTTCCAGTCTCTTTCTGCCTCAGGGCCTTTGTGCCTGCTACAGCTTCTGCCCGGAGTGTTTTTCCCTTTGCTTGCTGTGTGGAGGATTCTTCCTAAGTCTTTAGGCCTTAAAAGTCACTTCCTCAGGAGACCTCACTGACTTCCCTACCTAAAATGACCCACCTTGGTATTTTTTATCATATCATCCAATTTTTAATATTACATAAAATCTATCATTATTTAAATGATTAAATGTATTTAAATGTTTATCATCTCTCCCCACTTTTCTCCCTACTCCCCCCTCACTAATGTAAACTCCATGAAGTCAGGGACTGTGGCCGTCTTGTTTGCCATCATATCTTGCTAAGTCTGGTATGTAGAAGTGGCTCTATACTTACTGAATAATGAATGAATGGCTCATATGCTCTCCACATATGAAGCAGTATGTGGATTCTTGAGATGTCTGGGCCTACCTTCACAGTCATTTGAATGTTAAGTAACTCAGATATCAGCAGAGGTACCCATTCTTTGATATTTACATATAGTTGAGAAGAACTCCCTTTCCTGAAAAAGTACAATGCCCTCCTCAGGATGTTTGTGAATTCCTGGGGTCTTAAATTCTCAAGAGCACTTGTGGTTTTAATTTGCTGC